AGCAGAACTGTCCCCTTGATGTGTCATTCTTACTTTCAGAAAGGGCTAGAGTTGGTGTCTAAAGTCGATAGTCTAAACCATGACCAAAAGAAAGTCTTCCTTTTTCCTCTAGCCATTTCTTTTCCTGGCATAGCATTTAAGAGGAGCGGGTTCTGTTCTCCTGCAGGGGATATGTATGTGCTCACTGTAGTTGGGAAGTCACAGGAAGGAACTTACTGGGTGGGTCCGTGCGGGTGATCTCCTGGGGCACGGTGTGAAACCTGAACTCCTAGAACATCCCCACAGAAACCCAGGGGTGTGGGCTGTGGCACTTTTTAACAGTGTTGTTTAATGGAGACTTAGCAAACCTGTAGAACAGAGGACCCCTCTGTTCTGGGCACCTCTGGCCTTGGATTACTACCATCCAGGTTCCCAGTTCCCCTGGAGGCCTGAGGCTTGGAACTGTGAGTGTGCTAGGTCAAGTCTTCTAACAGGACCCAGTATGCCGACCCCAAGTCCCTGTGCTTTGGTACAGGAAAGTGGGTTTTATGTTTCTGTGTATCTAAAGTAGTGCGAGTTGTTCCTCCCAAAGTGCTGTGTAATAAGCCCAGAGTCAGGCAGAACCTCCTGAGATTCTTGCCAGGTGAGGTCTTCTTTCCAAGGAGTCTGCCAGTGGGCTCTTGAGGCCCTGGAGGAGGAGGGGAGGGAGCGAGGGCCACACAGTAACTAGTGGAAGGCTGCGCAGTCCTGTAGCTCACGGGCCCGCCTGAGACTACCTGGGAAATATTTCTTGAAGCACCAGAACCAGCAATCCAGTGAGATCACAGACTGTGTGCTGGGCTCAGGTCCAGCAAGGGCCCCTGTGGACGGACTGTGGAGCAGCACCACGCTCACATGTGGCTTGTGCTTCTCTCACAAAAGGGAACTGGAGAAGCAGAGGGAGAGCACTGCCACGGACATCCTGCAGAAGAAGCAAGAGGCAGAAGCGGCCGTAAGTGCTCAGCATCCAGCAGGCCCACCCCCTCGGATGAGCCTCCTGCCACACAGAGCCCAGAACACAGGAAAGACCCTCTTCTCCAGCTTGCGTGTCAAGTTGGCTGCAGGATGCACTGCACCCTGCAATGGGCTCGGGAGCCTTGGTCTTTTCTTCCCCAGCAGCCTCACCGTGTAGCCTTTATGCTTGCTGTGGGATGCACTCCTGGGGACTTAGTTCCCTGTCCTGAAGATATCGACAGCTCTCCAAAGGCATAACGGGGTTTTAAAAAATAGCCAGAGCCAGGTGCAGTGGCCCATGCCTGTGATCCCAGCAACTCAGGAGGGAGGCAGAAGGATCACAAGTACAAGGCCTCCCTGAGCAACTTAGCAAGACCAGGGCTGAGGATGTAGCTCAGAGTAGAGAGCCCCTGGGTTCAATCCCCAGTACCACACACACACAAAAGTAGCTGGTATTTCCTCTTTTCCTTCCCATTTTGTACTGCCTTCTTTGGGACATGAAGGAGTAGATATCTTGTATGAATGGCAGGGGACCAGGGGGTTCTTGGTGGTCAGAGGAGGGCTGGCATGCACAGGATATCAGCAGCAGGCAGACAGCCTGGAGCAGGCCAGGGCCCGTGTGTGCAGCTGGGGGAGCACATGCCATCGCAGGGGAAGTGCAGTCCAGCCCAGCTAAATGGTGCCCCACACGGACAGGGGGTTCCTTTCTCCAGAGGCACTGGGAATTCACTTCTTGGGTGAAATCTCTGTAAATGCCAACAGTGTAGTCTACCCACTCGTCCAGGATCCCTGGGAAGGGAGCTGAGTGCTGTTGCTCCCACTGTGTGCGTCCTGCCATTTCAGCTCCCAGTTACTCGAGCCACCTACTCAGCCTTGCTGGTGGGGAGCTGAGCACCAGGGCATCCGCTCCTTCCCTTACAGACCCTGAGCACTTGTGCTGGCCTGCACACGGACTGCCTGCCTGGGACTGACCAGCTCAGGGGAGCAATCCCAGCAGGCTCTGATGTGCTTATTGTCTTTCCTGGCAGGTTCGGTTGATGCAGGAATCTGTCCGAAGGATAATCGAGGCCGAAGAGTCCAGAATGGGTGAGTAGGCGTGTCCTCTATGGGCTGGGGTGGGTTCCAGGGGTCTCAAAAATCGTAAGGGAGGTATCCAGAGAAGGCCTGTCCCTGCACTGACTGGTCTGTCCTCAGGGCTCATCATCGTGAACGCTTGGTACGGGAAATTTGTCAATGACAAGAGCAAGAAGAGTGAGAAGGTGAAGGTGATCGACGTGACTGTGCCCCTACAGTGCCTGGTGAAAGACTCGAAGCTCATCCTCACGGAGGCCTCCAAGGTGCAGTGCCAGGCCCTGGCCTCCCACCAGAGGAAGAGCACCCTGGCCTCGCCCGGCCAGCTGGTTGCTGTGGCCTTCGTGTTGCCAGCATCCTCTCCATGCACCAAGTAATGCCCGTGCTGGAGCCGTGGGCCGTCTTCGTTTGTTTATTCTTAAATCTATTTGCTCAGCAAGTGGCAGCAAATGGAACACACACTTCCCTGCAGTTGTGTTGTTTACCTCTGCTGTGTTCCAGAAAGAGGGCAAAGCCACTTGGAGCACATGTGAGTCTCGCCTTTGGAGCCTGGGGTGTGAACTCTCCAGAATTCCAGGGCAGATCAGCTCAGGCCAAAGAACTAGCTTCCTGGGAAAGCCGGGTGCTCTGCTGGGGCAGGCCACTGTGGGACAAGCGGTTCTGATAGTCACACCAGTTCCACCTCCAGAGTGCACGTCTCCTTCCACGTGCACAGTGAGGGGAGAGGGAGGCAGCGCAGACTCCGAGACTCACCATGGTTCTTTACAGGCGGGCCTGCCAGGGTTCTACGACCCGTGTGTGGGGGAGGAGAAGAGCCTCAGAGTGCTTTACCAGTTCCGAGGTGTGCTGCACCAGGTGACGGTCCCTGACAGCGAGGCCCTTAGGATACCAAAGCAGTGTGAGTAGCCCCTCCAGTCACCTGTACGTGGGGTAGCACATCAGGGTGACAGCCACCTTCCCACTGGGTCCACCTAGGAGCAGGGAGGGCAGTTGGACCCTGGCCTAGTGATTTGCCCAGAGCCTGTGATTTGTGCCCCAGGAAGCAGTGTGTCAGCCCTTTCACAGGTGAAATTGGGAGTAAGCACTTGACCAGCGTCTGCAGTATGAGTGGCTGGGAGTGAAAGTAAACTTCTGCGCTCCGATGAGGTCCTGGCAGTCTGTGCCGTGGCCATCTGTGGCCTGAGCATTGCTCGCTCCTCAGCCAGGAAGGCATGGAAATGGACGCCCTTCTAGCCTGAGGTGGCTCTGTCTTTACAGCTCACAGGATCGACACAGATGGATAAACTGCTGCAGAACCTAACTAAGAAGAGGCTGCAAAAATCTTTTCCTGGGAGTCTACAAATTTGGAAGCAGGGAAGCCCCAGACCCAGATGTTTCTATTTTATTTTATTCCTCTAGAAGGTGAACCACATGAATGAAGGGACACGCAGTCGCCCAGCGTTGTGGGTGCTGGTGGTAGGACTGAGGCGGCCCCTCACAGGCCAGACCACAGCATGGTCCTCAGCTTTTACCAAGAACCATGTTCCTGGAGGGCAGGGCCCACGGTACCGGACCCCAGTTCTCTGCACACCTGCAGCTTGGCATCCAGCAGCTCTGGGGTCTGGAGGCCTTTGTGGGCCACTCTGTCCTCACACGGGACAGCTGCTCCTCAAGTGCCCACTGCATGTGGGCAATGTGGGCAGGAGGGAGGCGTCCATAGCCAAGGCCTCCAGGTGAGGGATCTGCCCAGCCACCCCACAAGCCACCTTCCTCTGCCGAAATGTCACCAAGTGAATGTGGAGAGGGCTGTGGGTTTATAAAACTGCTTTTTATCTGCGAACAAATGGGTTTGGAAACTGGTCTCTTTTCCCCCACTCCCAGAGCTGCTTCAGTCATTCCTCTTGCCCCTGGCTTAGAACTTGATGTAACCCCAGAGCCTGTCCCTGTGGGAAAAGGCCCTGCCACCAGTGGACAAAAGCTAGCTGTGTCCATCTCAACCTATGACACATACTCCCCTCCAGAGTTCAGTGCTGGAACTAGGGGAGGTCTGCACGGAAAAGGCAGACAAGAACGGCCATACGCACCCAACCAGAGGTAGGGACCCCAAGGCTGGCCCCAGCACCTGTGCCTCCCGTGAGTGCCCAGCAGGTGGCACTGTTATCCCAAGCCCGGCTCCTTCTGGGGTGTCTGCTGAGACCCCTTGGTGTGCCCCACTTGCTGTGTGCCACAGTGAATAGCTCCCTGGTGATCAGAGACTTGTCAGCTGGGCCTTGGAGCCAGCAGTGGTCACTTGCTCATGGCCTCCAAGCAGATGCTGCCTTGGCAGTGGTGATGACCACTGGCCCGGAAGGCTGAGGTCACTCTGGCCTCCAGCTCCCCTGCAGCTAAGATCAGGCTTCACTCCCCAGCACTGTTATCTAGGTAACTGCTGATGACCCCTCTCCAGTTTTTAAAAGTGGTTTAGATTGTCCAGTTCTGTAATATCTCAATTTTAAAAGGGGAAGTTTGTGGCTGCCCCACGAATGAGCCTGAGCTCGCAGCCTGGTGGTCCGACCCCAGGGCACTGCTGCTGTCTGTCTGAAGCAGGCTGTTCAAGGGCACTCTGCCCACAATAAAGACATCCTGAGAGCCGAGGGTAGTTCTTTAATTGGTCTGTGTGTTCATTTTTAGGAGTTCACAAAATACATAAGTGGCTGCCTCTTCCCCAGAGGCCTGGTTCTCGTCCTGATTCTTCACTGTTGAGCCACGTTTTACACCACAGCTTACCTTTCCCTTGCCTTGAAGATGTGGTTCTGTTTTCTACATCAAACACTGGCCTCCAGTTAGGAAGTCAGCTCAGCTAGGGTATCACAGCTTTTCTTTGTAGTCACAGGTAGGCACGCCCAGCCTATTCTTTAATGGGAAACAGGAAGTTGGTCCTCTTAGCAGCAGGGAAAGACAAGATAGCAGGAGAAAAAATGAAATGAAGGAGAGAACACTGCATGTGGAAAGACACTTTATTCTGGTGTTCACCAGCACCAGGTGGAAAGGAGGCACTTCTCCCAGCTTCCGCCTCCGATCAGGTCAGGCCCACTGTCCAGGATGACAGAGGGGACCCACTCACAGGTCACAGCCATCGCTCTCTCTGCATGGGGGCGGGAGGGCCCCACAGGCTGTCCCTAAAGGAGGTGCACTGGCAGAGAGGGTTCCCCCCCTCTGGGAGTGCCTGTGACACTGTCGGGTCAGTTCTTCAAGCTGGGGTTCCAACCATGCTTGCACAGAAACCAGACTCACCCTGGCACTTTGGTGCCCCAGCAGGTGTGGCTCTGGCTCACATGCGTCCCAGCCCCTGCTCCCCCGGCAGAGGCCTCTCAGTAGACCAGGTGGCCCCTTCCTCAATATCAGCAGCAAACCCAACTGTCCATGACCAGAGCCCCCAAATCACTGCCTGCCCTGGGTGCTGTTTCCAGCTCAGCTCCGCTGCTCCGGCCGTGGCCTGGCCTGGGGTCCCTGCTGACCCCCTCTGTGTGTGCGGAGGCGGCTGGACATCCTCTGCATCACCAGCCTCTGGGCCTTCAAGCGCTTTCTGAGCTTTTCGTTTTCTTTCAAAGTGAAGAAGAGTTTTTTTTTCAGGGCATCTAAGTCCAAAAGGGCATAGCTGTGGTCAGAAGCCTGCATGGGGAGGGCCCTCTTCAGCCCAGCGGGGCTGGCTGGCCAGCCAGGAGCCTCTGCTGCTTCTGATCCCTGTGGCAAAACCTAAGGACAGAGTTGAGCAAGAGCCATGAGCTGCCCAGATTGTCCCCAGCAGGAAGACTATCCCAGTTGGGGCCACCGGTGACCCATCGCCAGTCCAGTTCTGCTCCGGCCCTGCCAACAGGGCCCTGCCACTGCTCTGCTGATACACAGTGTACCTAAGTCCTGCTGGTCACCTTTACTGGGAAGCTCTAAAATCAAGGCCACTGATCCTGCTCCTCTCATTCTCTTATTAGGGGGGGACAAGGTTCAATGTGTAGCAAAATGAGCTGCCAAGATCAACTGACCACACGCTGCCTTCTGTGGGGACCCATGTCTTACCTGCTGCAGGGGGCCTTCAGTGTTTGGGGGCAGCTGCAGCTCTTCCAGCGCAATGTCCATGCTCTTCCTTGGGCCGTCCTCCTCGGCCCCTGCCTCAGGGCAGACCTGGGAACGGCAGGCAGGATGGCGAGGCAGGGAGACACCAGACACCACAGCTGCCACCATCCGTCCCTGAGCAATCCCTGCATAAGCAGCTACAGCCAGGGATGGCCACAGGGCCTGCACAACAGTAGAAACAACCTGCCTCTTATGCCACAAACCTGAGACCAGGGCACCAGACGTGGAACCCCCCAAGGTCTCTCACGCTGAACAGAATGAGGGATGGCTCTCCCTTCACAAGAAATGAAGTGACCCAGACTCTAGCTGTGAGGAAATGGAACAAACCCCTGCAGGCCAGCCAGCCATATTAAGAAGCTGCTGCCCACACCGTAGACCCCACAGCGTCACTGAGATGAGCAAAGAACAGCCAGCACAAACTCACCTTCTCTCCCTGAGAGCCGGCATCTCCTCTCTCCCTGGCTCGGTTTGTGTTCTCCCTCACAGGCTGCAAGACAGGACACAGCAGGTGCAGCCAAGGCATGATGAGATCCCCATCACTAAGGTCCCTTGGAGCCAGGCCTTGGGCTCCTGTGACCCCAGTGTTCAGCCTGATGCGGGGCATACCCAACCACTCTTGCTCAGCCTGTGCTCCCTTTCTCCAAAGATGTTCCCAAGTCATGGTCCGGAGGCCCCTGAACAGGGCCCTGTAGAGCCAGGACTTAACAATACACACGTGTTGCCCCAGGGCTGCCATCTGGCCATCAGTAGATGTTTGCCTTGTGACAGCACACAATGGAAAGCCTGGCACCACAGACACAATCTGCAGTCCCTGCTCAGCGGATGTGCCCGCAGGAACCATAACCAGTTTCTCTTCACCAATCTGATGTGGGCACCAAGCACAGCAAAAGCACACATATCCTCCTGGCCAGCTGTGTAACTGACCTCTTACTCCTGGGGCAAACATTCCACACATGTGTGTGAACATGATAAAACGACTCCACCTCTTAACAAGCATGCACTGAGCAGCCCCCTGGGTGCGGGTATACGGCACTGAGCCTATCCCTGCCGTCATGGTCCTTTCATGGTTCAGTGGGTGTACACACTAGGAAGACCAAGGGCAAGAAAGGGGTACTATGGAGAGCCAGAGGGACAGAACAGACCTGGAGATGAAGCAGCAAGGGCGGGGGTGGCAGGGAGGCCTCTTGTGAAGGGCAGAGCCAGGGCAAGCTTCCCACTCCTGAGCTCAGGCCCATCACTCGCTCCCAGTACCAGCCAGCCTAGGGGCCTGCTGTTTGCCCCACACCACTTTGCCCTCCAGCTTCAAGCAGGTGCACCCTAGGGGCCCCCACACACTGGCCTTGGCACACCTAAGGTTTAGGAGTCAACTCGGTCTCCATGGCTGCCATATCCAGCTATTGTGAACTCCCTCCCAAGCAGAACCTGAACTTCCTGTCCCCACCAAGACATGTCTACCTTCATGTCCCACGGGAATGTCAAACTCCACCTGCACAAAATCAAATTCAAGCCACCGCCAAGGACTTAGCAGCCTCACCCTCGAGCCCCTCGCTTCCAGATGTTCTATCCCCGCTGCCCACCTTCCCCTAGCAGTTTCCACGGAGGAAGAGGAATAGTAGCCTATGTCCGTTACCCAGGACCTCTGTTCTAGCGACCCCTTAGCTGATGCAAGTAAGGGTGGTGACCTGCTTCTTGCTGGCCCCGAGGGTTATATCCATATGAGAAATCAACACAGACAGCAGGAAGACCCTAACCACTGTCCAAGGGATCGATGGTGACGACAATAAAAAACTAGTGGAGGTGTTGAAGAAGAAATTGGCCTGCAATGGTACTGTCCACTGAGCATCCAGAAGATGCAGAAGTAATTCAGCTGCTGGGTGACCAGCGCAAGAACATGTGCCAGTTCCTGGTAGAGACTGGACCAAGGGCGATCAGCTGAAGGTTTTAACTGTTTGTGGCTCACTGAAGCTCAAGTGAGGATTTCCCTGCCATGAGTCCCTTGTCTCAAGTTCAAAAACCTCACAGCTTATAAAATTTAACCATTTGAGATCTGCTTGTAACTTGTAGTCGTGTAACTCCTTCATGCATACACTGAAAACAGCCATGCCAAAAAAACCCAGGGAGTCCAGGAACCACCTGCTCCAGGGGCCAGCAAGCTCTGCCCTCCCGAGCTCCCTCCCTGCCCACCAGCACCACGAGGTGCACCACACTGCCCTCGTCACTCACAGCTCTGCTCACTGGCCTCCAGAGGAACTTCTGCCAGGCCACAGGTAGCCTTCCAAAGCCATGACCCTCCCACTGCTACGGACTGAATGTTTGGTTACCCCCCAAATTCACATGTCGAGACCCTAACCCCCAGTGTGATGGCCTTTGGAAGCACTAGAGTCGATGAGGTTATGAGGGTGGGTCCAGATGATGGCACTAGTGACCTCATTAGAGCAAAAGGGAAACCTACTCTCTGCTGTTTGCCAATGTGAGGATACAGAACGGAGAAAGCCATCCACAACCAGAAGCAGGTCCTCCTCAGGACCTGGGCATACTGGCACCCTGGTCTTGGACTTGCAGCCTCCAGAACTCTGAGAAAGAAATGCTGCCTTTCAAGCCACCCAGGCTAGGTCCTCTGCTATAGCAACCTGAGCTGGCTAGGACATCCTAAAACCCCATAGCTTGTCATGCTCCCATCCTCTAGGCCCAGCTCCTCTCCCCAGCTTCTGGGACCCTCCAAAAACTGTTCCCAACTCTGACCAAATTTTTTTGACTGCCAGGCTCTGCCCACTGTCCCTGAGTCCCCTCTACTGCTCCCCCTGCAACACCATTCCATTCCCCTGGCCCAGCTCCTCTCCCTCACATCACTGCAGGCCCAGCAGTTCGTGGCATAGCACACAGTAGGACCACACAGTGGTGCACGCTGCACAGTCCTGGTGCTACTAAGACAAAGAGCACTGTGCCTGTCTGCAGCACCAAACCTGCTGCCTCAAGGGGAAGGAAGATCTTCCCTGCATGGTCCCCAACCCAAGGAAACCCAGGCAGAGCAAGAGGCAAATGACCAAACTCAGCCAGTCAGCTGCTCCAACAACAACTGTGGTGAAGAGGCTGGGTTTGTTTTTAAGAGACAGGCTATGCTGTCCAGGCCGGCCTCGAACTCCTGGGCCCAAGCAATCCTCTAGCCAGAGTACTCTGCAGGTGCACACCATGCCCAGCGTTACATGATTTTATTTTTATATTTTTGGTACTGGGATTGAACCCAAGGGCACTCTACCACTCAGCTACATCCCCGCCATTTTTGTTTTTCATGTTGATACAGGGTCTTGCTAAGCTGCCCAGGCTGTTTTCATACTTGTGGTCCTCTGGCCTCAGCTTGGAGTCGCTGGGATTACAGGGGTGCATCAATACACCCCAAACAACTTATTTTAAAGCAAAGATCACAACCAGCAGTGCCAGCCTCTGGGGTCCAGAGCCCTGACAGTACCACCCCCAAATAGTTCTTGACCTTTGCTTTTCCTGCAAATGCTACCTCCGCCCCCAACTGCTGGAGGAACCCATTGGGCTGAATCTGAAGAGACCAAAGGCGGCCACCGGCATGTCCCTACCTGCGTGGAGTCCTGAAAGGCAAACACTGTCGGCACAGCATTGTGCTTCAGGTTTTTGCGGTTTCCAAATGCACTGAAGCATTCGGGTCTGAAGTGCTCGGAGCAGATGACCGTGTGCTGCTTAGGCTTGAAGCCAGCCCGGCCGATGTTCAACACCCACTCCTTCAGCAGCTCAGGCCGGCTGAATGGGAACCTGAGGTGCAGACAGAGGTGAGAGGTCTGGCAAAGCTGAGTTCAGCACTACTGCAGGGTACTTTATTGTACAGCTTTGGAAATTCATAATCTCACTTTGTTAGATCACATCTAATTTCTGGAAGCTTCTGGCATGGCTGTTAACAGCATTCTTAATGGAAACCTGAGAGGATAAACATGGTCAAAGAGCCCAAATGAGGGGCTGGGACTGAAGCTCAGTAGTAGAGCACTTGCCCAGCACATGTGAGGAGACAGGAGACAGGTCTCTTGCAAACTGTCCAGAGCAGAGTATTTGTTGGAGGGTGGGGGTGGGAGTTGGTGCCACCCAGATGCCCTTCAATTGTAGGGCAGATGAACTCTGGTATATACATCTGATGGAATACCATACTGCAAAGAAAAGGAATGGACAGCTTCTGCACATGGCAAAGGATGACTCTGAAACAATCCTGAGCCAAAGACAGAAAAAATACATGCTGCGATTCCATTTCTGTAAAGTTCAAAACCGGCCCAATCAATTCATTCTGATAGAAGGCAGGACTTTCCCAAGGGCAGATGGGAGGAGGACGACTGGAAAGGGGTGCAGCAGCTCATTCAGCAGGCTTCACTAGGTGAAAACAGGTCTGTGTACGATACATCAATAGAAACATTAAACAGTGCCATGGCCAGAGAGCACAGGCCGTCGACCCTCTAGAGACGCTGCAGGGCGGAGCCCTAGAGGAGTGCTCTCCTGGGCAGGGGCCCCTGGCGTGCTGGAAAAGGGGTCCTGGGCTGCAGCACCCCTTCAAGTGCCCGCCATCCTCCCATGACCGCGCGGTCCCTGCCCGCCGCCCGGCCCCGAGGGTTCCCATCCCTGCTAGCCAAAGACGGGTCGGGAGCCGGCGGGGCAGGAGCGCAGCGACCCGCCGCGGCCCTCCGGGGGGTCCCAGCGCAGGCGGCCCTCTGTGGGGGTCCCCGGCGCAGGCAGAGCGGGCGCGGCCCCTCCTGGTCCGCCCCTCCCCGCGGCCGTGACGGCCCCGCCGGCGCCCCTGGCCTGCGAGCCCGCCCGGCTCCCGCGCCCCGCCCGGCCCTCACCGGTGGAAGGTGAGCTGCTTCCTGCGGTTGCTGTAGCGGTTGCAGCACTGCCGGGCCGCGCACGACTTGGGCATCTCGGAGCCGGGCCCGTCGCCCCCAACAAAGATGGCGGCGGGGCTGCGGGGCGCGGGGCGGGGCCGGCGGCGCGGGGCGGGGCCGCGGGCGGGGCGGGGCTGCAGGCCACCGCGGGCCAAGGCCCGCCCAGCCCGGCCCGGCGCTGCTCCTGCTGTCCCCAGGAGCGGACGGGCTCTGGGCCGCCAGGTCGAGGAGCCCCCGGCCCCAGCTGGCCAAGCCCTAGGCCTCCGAGGCTCTCGCCCGCCGACAGCCTGGACGCTAGGACCAGACGAGCCCAGTGCGCCCGGCTGTGCGGGTCTCCGTTCAGGAGGTGGTAGGGTTGGGGTCCTGACGTCACTGGAGGGGCCAGCCGGCCAGTGGCTGGCCTGATAGTGCAGACTTGGTACTGGGGATTCCCCAGGATAAAGGGACAAAGTGAGCACCCAGGGGAGGTTCTATCCGGGCTTGCGTAGCCTCCCTGGCGTCCAGCAAGCCAGTCTGACCAAGAAACAGCGAGAAAGCTTTCGAGGGTGCTGGGATGCCTTCCCCTCTGAAGGATTCACTAGTACAGCTATGGAGATGAAAGTGGCGCCCGCTGAGGCCGGAGGATCACAAGTTCCACGCCAATGTGGGCTATTTAGTAACCTAGCAAGTTCTCAAACTAATAAGGGATGGGGATGTGGCTCAGTGACACAGGACCGCCAGGTTCAATACCCAGTGTGTGTTGGGGGTGGGGGGGGGGTGGGGCGGGAGAGTATTAAGGGCTGTGGGCATTTTTTCAAACTGCTAAAATGCCACCTCCACGGAGCTGGGGTTGTGGCTCAGCGGTAGAGCAATCGCCTCGCATGTGCAAGGCCCTGGGTTCGATCCTCAGCACCACATTAAATAAATAAATAAATAAATGTATTGTGTCCAAGTACAACTATAAATAAATAAAAAAAATAAAATAAAAAATAAAATAAAATAAAATGCCAACTCCAGCTTTAATGGGCCAGAATCCCCCTGTAATTCTGGCATGAGGAGGCAGTTAGAAACACTGCATCCTTCAGCACAGAACAAACACCTGAAGCTAGACCAGACCCACAAAGTAGCAATATCTTTATTTACAAAATATACAGTTTCACAGAAACAGCTCGCTTTATACACATAAACTTTATAATTACACAGAACCATGTAAACGATGTTTAGTGTCTGGCCTGGCCAAAGCCCATGAGGGGCCTACTTTGGGGGTGACACCTTTCCCTCCCCTCACTTCATTAGTGATCAACCAGGAGCCCCTAGATTGGTCATGCCTAATTTGCATAAAGAAGCTGATTGCAGCTGCCCAGCTCAATCTATCCCAAAAACCAAGGTTTGTGCCTACCATTGCAGACACCACCCACAGAGAGAGATTTGTTAAAACACAAACAAAATCAAGGAAATAAATTGAGATGAGTATCAAACACGTTCCAGAAGCATCAAACTTTCTAGCACACATTAACCATCACCAGGGTTGGCAGTTCCAGTCTAAAACCACACATATTCTTAAATGCACTTTAAAAAATCTTGTGAGTTGGGGCTGGGGATGTGGCTCAAGCGGTAGCGCGCTCGCCTGGCATGCGTGCGGCCCGGGTTCGATCCTCAGCACCACATAACCACATACAAAGATGTTGTGTCCGCCAATAACTAAAAGAAATAAATATTAAAAAAAAAAAAAAAAAAAAAAAAACACACCTTAGAACTTTGGTTATTCTCATGGTGAAGATAGGGGACAGGCATCATCATGGGGCAGATCTTTGGCAAATTCCTCCCCAACTTGTCCTGGATGTTTGCCCCAGTCAGAGTCAGACAATAGCCTGCGGACAAGGTTTCTCAACCAGCTATTTCTCTGCAGCAGAACTCTCCCTTGGGATCTCCACAGTAAACTGAGTTTGAGAAGCTATTTCTCTCTACTTTCATACTTTAATATAAGCAACAGGACTTTTAAAAACTAAGACAGTTGACTGGACAAGTGTGAAGGATATCAGCACAAAAAAAAAAAAAAAAAAAAAAAAGGCTCTGGTTAGCCAAATAACATTTCAACCCCTTGGTGCTTCAGTGAGTGAACATGGGGAATGGCTGGTGGTGGCCTGGGCATAAATGTGCCACAGAGAAGGAAAACTCCCATCAGGGAGACTGTGGGCCCATCTTGCTTCAAATAATATGCAAATAAATATAACTTGGGTGTTCTTCCCTTTTCATGCCTTACAAGAAACAATGCAATGAGAACGCAGCCACCACTTTACAAAACATTCTTGAGAACATATACTTGAACTGAAGAGTAAGGTCGATTTCAGAGAAAACTGAGGCCTCTTCTCTCCTTGAGCCCCAGAACCACCAGTGTACCAGGTATACTGCCCTTGAGCACAATCTGCAGGGGCTTCAGGGCTTAGTTTCTCCAGATATGGGCTACAAAGGGGCCTCTCCAGTCCAGGACCCCCGCTGGGATCTGAGGAACACATCACAGTTCAACAGTATATTTCTTTCTTTTTTTTTTTTTTTTTTTTTTTTTTGTGGTGCTGGGGATTGAACCCAGGGCCTTGTGCATGCAAGGCAAGCACTCCACCAACTGAGCCATAGCCCCAGCCCTCAATAGTATATTTCTAAAGACCAGTGTTGCTGTACCACTCACTCACTCACCAATGCAGACCAAAAGGACTCAAGTCCTTCTAACCTTGCCCTGGTGGAACCAGCAGGCCAGCCTGTCTCAAAGGGCATACTTAAATCCCCCACAAGAGAGACCTCCTGTTTTTCGGTACCCCATCATTTAAAGGAACACCATTCATGTCCTAGCAATTGCCTAATCTTTAGGTTGCTACTGGAATAAGTAAGAGGAAGAGATTAGAAAACCTAAGCACTCCCCATGCTTGAAAACAGCTTGCCTGGGCCACCTGAGGTGCCTTGTACACCAACTGGAGAGAAAGGAAGGGCACCAGACGAGAAATCGGCCAACACTTTTGGCTGAATCGTGCAAAGACAGGTTTTTCACATCGTGCAAAACAGGAAACCGAGTTATGAATGTGGGCTATCTCACCCCCCAAGCAACCCTTTCCACAGAGCAGTGACCACATATAATCCCTTCAACAAACAGGGGAAACCAAAGAATTACAAGCTCACCTGACACCCCAGAACTCCTCTTGGTGACATCAGAAGACGCCAGCAGCAGCTCCCTGGACTGGCAGGGGCCATGGAAACAGGTGTTGAGTGCAGGCCACAGGGAAGGGGACACTTGGATGGCTGCTGTACAGACACTTACGGTGAGAGACTGACACTCAAGAAGAAACGTACACATATGGCTGTTCGTTTACAGGCTGGGGAAACCGAACATCTCCTCTCCCCAACAGTGGAAGCAGGAATAACAGCTAGCACTTGTTCCAACAGTGGGAATTTGTTAACAATGATAGCAAAAATTCACAACAACCACATACCCTCACTTTCAGCTGAACCAAACCCACCATACTTGGGTGTTTAGTCCACTTCCACTGCAGAGAATACAGCTCTGGCAGCAGCTTTGGCCAACAAAGATTTTATTCGCTCACTGGCTATGTACAGTTTCTACCCCGAACAGCCTGTCCTTTTGCTTAGGCACCTGAATGGCAGGATCTGCCTGTACCAGAGCTGGGAGTTCTGTGCTCAACTGAGGGAGGGCCACAGAGCTCCAATTCCTTCCAGTCCCTCGCCTGGAGTCTCCTCACCAGCGCAGTCAGTCTAGGAACAGCTTCCGGGAACCCATTCGGGAACGGTTGGAACGGCGGATGTCAAACTTGGAGTCCCGGCACTTTTGGCAGACAAACACTTCTGGAACATTGGACTTCCGGATTTTCGCACAGGACAGGTGAATCCAGGTGTGGCACTCATTACACTCTATCATAGGGCGGCCAGCAAATGGCTTCATGCAGAAGCAGGTGACAAGGTCCCAGGAATCATCATCTGGAAGGAAAGAAACACATTTTAAGAGGGGAAAACTTTTTTGGTGATACTGGGAACTGAATCCAGGGGAACTCTGAGCTATGTTCTCAGACCTTCTCATTTTTTATTTTAAAACAAGGTCAAAATTGCTGAGGTTATCCTGGAACTTGTGACCCCCTGCCTCAGTCTCCTGAGGCACTGTGATCCCTTTTGACAGCCACTTTCCCCCAGAAGAACTGCTCGTTTGACAGGCAGAACAGCTGGACATGGCTGCAACCCACTACCCAGCCCACAAAACAAGCCCAACTTCCATACGATGCCATTCTCTCTACAGGAATGTGCAGTAAGTGTATCAGGAGGGCACTCAGTTGTGGAGTGACCGTTTCTACATCTTGAGGTCTGCTGTGGCACCTGGGCTGTTTCAACACTGCTAAGCATCTCTGCCCACCTTCCTGCACTTTCTCCCCCAAGGACAGTGGGCACTCTGCAACCACACTGCAAGGAAGGGCCCAGGTCCTCTGATTGGAAAAGATTACTACTAACACAACATATCTTAAAAAAAAAAAAAAAAAAAGAAGAAGAAGAAAACAACCCCTCTTCTGTCCACCAGCCCACGAGTCTCCACTCTTCTGGGATCACTACCTGAATCCACCATGATGTCCTCATCGTTGCCGGTGCTGTCCTCATCTCGGAACACCACCTGCTTTCCTTGCCGGACAATAGTCCGTTTGCCCTCAGTTTTTATTTCTTTGACCTGATCGGGTGACACAGTGGCACAAGAGCCACTTGAAGGAGTGTCGGAGTCCCAGCCTGAGCAGGGGTCGCTGGGAGCCTGAGGGATATCCTGCAGGGTAGGACTTGTAGGGGACTCCACATATGGATCTGCAGCTTCCAACTTCAGCAGTCCCCCTCTGTATCCCTCCTTCACAGGCACATCACTGTCCCTGCGCTTTCTCTTCTTCTTCTTCTTCAGCTTGTCCGTCTTCTTTCTGTCCAGCAAGAAGTTACTGGGCTTGGCTCGCTGCAAGAGGGTGGGCTGCAGGTGGCTGAAGCAGCGGTCAGACACTGGCAACGGCACAGAGGATGCGATGTCAGTGAAACCAGTGTCCCAGCCATCACTGTCAATGGTGCCAGCAGTGCTGTTGGCAGGGCTGGGGCTGCTCCTCAAAGGGAGCTCCTGAAAAGACAGGCAAAGGAAACAAATTCTGGTTACTGAGTCCCCAGTGACAAGAGCCAGCCCCCAGTAGAGCTTCCCTAGCTCACCCATCACCCAGGTTGGGCCTCCCCTCCAGCAATGAGCAAGCACAACCTCAGCCTTGGTGCTTCTCAGCAGCATACACCAGATTAGTACTTTAACATGAGCCTCTGGTGGAAGAACTGTCTTCCCTTGCTGAACTCTCAGACCCTGCCCCAGAGTGAGCTGACGTTCAAATGCCCAGGGAAAGAGCTGAGGGTGTGGCTCAGTGGTAGAGGCCTTGCCTAGTATATCAGCCCCAAGGGGAAAAATTAAAAATTGAGGAAAGGACTTCTGCAGACACACTCTCATATCCTTTTTTTTTTTTTTTTTAAGGTCTCTCTTTCCATTTGTCCTCCCAAGAGATGTATTTTTTAAATTAAGTGAATTTAAATTAGTTTTGAGAATTTCCTGACAGTCTTAAAGAAACTGAAGACATCCTAGAATATTGCAAAATCAAAGTAAATAATTACCGCCCTGAAGCAGCAAACTCTACAGTTCTTCAGATCATTCAAGCATATTATCTGCAAACAGTGGCAACATAACCCACCTATATAGCCAGTGGAAAGAATAAACCAATTCTATGATTTTGCCTCCTGAAAATACCAGATCCTTTTATTTGTAGCTTAATATAATATGAATGAGGCCCCTGAAGTTTGAGCACCACAGCAGCTCTGTCCCACAATCCTGTCCTTTTCTCCATTTACATAGGATCTGGGGGGATGAGTCTCTGAAGATTTGGTTATGTGCTGTTCACAGCCACCAGGAGGCTGCCTGAGAGACAAGTGTGGACCCTGGGTCCTAGGGCAAGGTATTTCCCTGTCTGCCTCAATGACCTCTCACCCTTAAGGGCCAAAACCAGTGTCCAGTCACTGTAAAGTACTGACAAGAAATTCTTAAGAGCAGACAGATCCCAAATACATTATTTCCAAAAAATTTTGAAAGTTTTAAATCATTTCTATACAAGTCTGTATTTTCTACCACAGCTTTAAGAACGACTTTTCTGCATGGTGGCATACACCTGTAATCTCAGAAGCTCAGGAAGCTGAGGCAGGAGGATCACAAGTTCAAGGCCAGCCTCAACAACTTAGCAAGACTCTAAGCAACTTAGTGAGACCCTGTCTCAAAATAAAAATTTTTAAAAGGACTGGGGATGGGGCTGAGTGGTAGAACGTTTGCTTAGCACATGGGAAGCACTGGGTTCAATCCTCAGCACCACATAAAATAAAGGTATTGTGTTCATCTACAACTTAAAAAAAAGAGGCGAGGGAGGGGGGCTGGGGATGTAGCTTAGTGGTTTAGCACCCTTGGGTTCAATCCCTGGTACCACCCACCCAAAAAAAAAAAAAAAAAAAAAAAAAAATCACTTCACTGGCTGGTCTAAACTCCCAAGAAATGAACTCCTACCAGACCACTGCCTGAGATCACTAGAAGCAAGCCCTTCCAAATGCACTTGGACCAAGTGCTGGGGTGCAACTGCACAGGGAGCCAAACTTCAAATGCCTGCATATTTACCTCCTTTGGGTAAGGGATGTATCCAGCATAGGCCAAGACAAAGGTGCAGAACTTGTTGAAGTCCTCTACAGTCCTGCGCCTCTTGCAACTGGGGGAGTACTCCTGTTAGGGAGAAAACGGAGTGTGAAGGAAAGAAAGGCTTCTAGGTGGGACTGCAGACAGACAAGGAAGCTGAGCTTCTACTGTCAACCACTTAACAAACACACTGCTGGATTTACAGCCTACAAAACAGAAGAGGTAAGTTCAGGTTAAGAAATAAAACAGTTTTCAGAAGAGCCAAAATAGTAAGATTTTATGCCAAGAACACTGAGAATCCGACTAAGAGATAAAAGGTGGCAGGAAAGTCGACCTCTTGGTGCTCATGGGTCATTTTATGACCTTATCTTCTGGTTCCTGCACATATGGGGAGCTCTATGTTTTTTGCTACAGGTTTTCCATTTTGAAAGTAAACCACTGCTACTGCTGTAACTAGAGTGCTGGGACTTGGAAAACCAACGCTTATCCGGCCCTGCTCTCCAGGCTGACCCCTGCCCGGCCAGGGCGGGTGAGGACCAAGTTTCTGTGAGTCAAGAGCCCCCCACAATCCTCAGGGTCGGGTGCAACCCAGACAGGGAACCAGGTACGCTCCGGCTGCACGCCGAAAGGCTGGACCCGGACACGGGCCCCGGGGGACGCGGGGGACGCCCTCCTCGAGAGGAGGGAGCGCTGAGGCGCCCTGGCCTCGGCCTCCCGGTAGCGCGGCACCCTGCCTGCGGCCGGCGGGGCAGGGGCGGCGGGAGCGCGCCCCACAAGCCACTTGTTGAGCGCCCTCCAGCTCCGGGCAGGCCGCCGCCCCCCGCCGGCCCCCGCCTCCCGCCCGAGGCCGCGGCGCGACCGCAAACTCAGGGACAACTTTACTTGGCGGGGGCCTCGCTCGAGCGCTCCGAGCCGGGACGCGAGTGCGGGCGCCGCGCCCTCAGGGGCCGAGGCCGCGCGACCCCGCCGGCGCCTGCCCGGAAGGTGCGGGGCCCAGCCGCGGGGCGGGGGCGCGGAGCCCGCGGGCGGGGGTGCCAGCGCCGGGGGACCGCGAACCGGCGGGCGCCCGGCGCCGCCCCTCCCCCACCGCGGGCGGCGGACCCGCACCGAGGCGGGGGTGCGCGCAGGGGCCGAGGGCGGCCGCGCCGGGGCGGGGCGGGCCCGCGGCGCGGGCGGGCTGGCGGCGGGCCGGGCGGGGGACCCCGCGGGACTCGGCCCCCGAGCACCGGAGGGTGCGGGGGCCGGCGGGCCGCGCGCGGGGCCAGGGGGCGGGGCGCGGCCGGCCGGGAGGGGGCGGCCGGCCGGGAGGGGGCGGCCGGCCGGGAGGGGGCGGCCGGCCGGGAGGGGGCGGCGGGCGGGCGGCGCCGAGCCGGTCTGAGGGGCCCGAGCCCCACCGGGGGGGGGGGGGGGCGGGGGAGGGGCCGCCGCCGCGGGAAGCGGGGCCCGGGCGGCGTCGGCCGCGTCCCGGAGCGGGAGGAGAGGGGCGGGGGCACAGCCGGTCCCGAGGCTATGCGAGGCCAGAGGGGCGTCCTCGGGGCGGGGGTGGGCGCGGCGTCCCGGGAGGGGTGCGGGGCGAACGCGGGCGTCCGAGGCAGGGCCGCCGGGGACGACCCAGCGCGGGCCCAGGCGGGGGGCGGGGGCTGGGCTCCGGGGGTGGCGAGGGAAAGCTGGGGGAGGGGGCCAGCTCGGGCGGCTTCCCGGGGGTCCGCCTGCCCCGAGGGGCGCAGGATCGACGAGAGGAGGCGGGGGGCGATCGGGGCGCAGCCCGCACTCACCTCCGGGTGGAAGGCGGCGGCGCAGGAGTCGGAGTCCATGTTCCGGGTGGGGGGCGGCGGCTGCGGGGGTGCAGAGGCCCGGCCGCGGCCGTGGGGCCACTCGCGGCCGTGGGCTCCGGCGACCGCGCAGGGCGAGGGGGGACCCGGGAGGAGTCGCCCCAGGAGGAGTCGCCCCGGCAGGAGGTGACGGGGGGCTCGGCGTGTCGTGCCCCGGACTAGGTGCTCACGGACTGGCGGCTACACGACCAAGCAGAGTGGGCGATGAAGCTTCCGCGGCCGGGGCGGCGGAGAGGCGGGAGAGGCGCTGCGGGAGGCGGCGGCGGCGGCGGCGAGCGGGAACCCGACCGGCTCCCCGACCTGACGCCCAGTTCGGCTCGTGTCTCGGGAGGGAGGGCGGGAGTGCCGCGAGGCTTGCCGGGAAGTGTAGTCCGGGCGTCGCGGAGGGGGCGTGTCGCTGGCGGCGCGGGGCACTGTGGGAGTCGTAGTCCGTGTAGCGACTCCGCGGCGCGCAGAGGCCGCCGGGGGACTCCACGCCCCATGGGGCTGCGCGGCTGCCGCCGATGCGCGGGCGGAGCAGGGCGGGGGCGGGGGCGGGGACTGGCGTCGCGGGCCAGTGGGGGAGGGGCGGCGACGGGGGGCGGCCCTTCCTCCGCAGGACTCAGGGTGGCCCCGGGGGGCGGGGGTCCCGGGCGCGGCGGGGCGAGCCGGGCCGCTGTGGCCGTCGGGTGGAGCCCGCCGATTCAGGACGGCGGGGCGGGACTCCTGCGGGGCCGGCTAGCACAGTGGAGCCGGCGGAAGTCCGCGGACGCGTCCCTGGCGCTCGGGGGCTCGCGAGGCGCGCTTTGTGCTTTGCCCTTCGCGCTGCCTGGGGCCGCGGCCTCCTCGCCCTCCCGGCTCGTGTTCCTGCCCGGAGGATCGGCGCGGGGCCCGGCTGGACGCTGCCCTTCGCGGCACTGGCCGGGCTGCCGGAGCAGCGGGCGACGTCCGGGACCGACCGCGGGGTGCTGGACAACTTTGGATATTGAAGGTTGACTTCGTGGACTGCCCTGGTGAAATGACCAGGAGCAGGCCTGGCGTTCTGTAGCACTAAAGATCGTAGAAAGGAAAAGTGTTTATATACAAAATGCAGATGAGCCCCTAACGTCATGTTTAGTAGATTCAAGACGAACTGTTAAAAGGGAATGACATAAAAATTTTAATCCAAATCAGAAAAGGAACTCCTCAGCGCACTAGGAAGATCAGATTATTTGAGAGGGCGTGTGTGCTGTACCTATGGCTATTGCTAATTCTGTGGTTAAAATGATTCTAATGGAAACTTTGGTGATTAAGAGAATGGGCTTGCTTTAGAAATACGTCTAGCCTCAATTTCCTAAGCCATAAATTTTATAGCATAGTGCCTGGTTCAGTAAATGGTAGCTTACTCTTATTGTTGTTGTTTTATTATCTGTGCAGTATGGCAGCCCTTAGGAGGGCTCCCCAGAGGTGATAAACTGAGGCGCTTTACAGGATGATACGCAGATAAATTACTAAGATGAAAAGGAGGACTGGGCACTTAGCCTGTCTCCTCAACAACTTATAGAGTTGTCTTATGTAGATGATTTGACCACAGACTTAATATGCTATCTGATTTCTATGGCCAAAGCCAATGTCCTGAGGTTAGCCAGTATTGCCCAAAGGCACCAGGAGCAACTTGTTTTGCCTGAATAAAAAAGGACTTTGAAGATATTATCCTTTTGGTAGCTTAAAAGATACACCAAGAAAAATAATTATTACAGTGAAATCCAAATGAAACATGAGAATTATTTTTTTGTTTTGTTACACCTGATTTATTCCCTATGGTAAATATTACACATAATAAGCATTATGTCTTATACAACACAGGTCAAGAAACCATCTGGGATGTGGCAAGGTAGTAGAGCTTCCACCTGTCATGCTGGGGTGCCTGGATTCAATCCCCAGCACCTTAAAAAAACCTGAAGATAGAATGCAGGGCTCTATAGAGGACCCCCTGGGTTGCCACAAGGAAGGAAAACCCCAGATCCAAGTGATAACCCCTCCTACTCAACACTTTAATGCAATAGGTATTTCTTGAATTTGGTCCTTAGTAAACAGTAATTATTGTTGTTTGCAGTACCCAGTACATGCTAGCACACAGTAGGCAAGCACTTTGCACTCTAGTTCCAAGCTACATCTGTATTCCTTTTTTTTTTTTTTTTTTTGGTACCAGGGATTAAATTCAAGGACACTCAACCACTGAGCCACAACCCCCGCACTTTTTTGTATTTTATTTAGAGACAGGGTCTCACTGAGTTGCTTAGCGCCTTGCTTTTTGCTGAGGCTGGCTTTGAATTTCTAATCCTCCTGCCTCAGCCTCCTGAGCCACTGGGATTACAGGTGTATGCCACCAGCCCCGGCCTAGGATTACTCTTGAGTAGCAGATTCCAGGCCCTGACCCAATGCGCCTGGCAGCAGTGATTCTTTTTTTTTTTTAAGTGAGAGAGAGAATTTTTTTAATATTCATTTTTTAGTTTTCGGTGGACACAACATCTTTGTTTGTATGTGGTGCTGAGGATCGAACCCGGGCCGCACGCATGCCAGGCGAGCGAGCGCGCTACTGCTTGAGCCACATCCCCAGCCCGCAACAGTGATTCTTGGTGCCAGTACCGAGTGCTGTTCTTTACTAGTCTGTCTTCCTGCCACTCCATTAGTAGAGAAGGGTTTTGTTATTGTTGTTGGTCTCCCCTTCAATTTCCCTTAGAAATTTAGCCTTTTAGAAGACAAAAAAAAAAGAAGAAGAAGAAGAGAGGGCTATAGCAGCAGTAATTGACCCAACTTCAACAGTGAATAAGTGTTTGTGGGGTAACAAAGTGACAGATAGAATGCAGGGCTCTATAGAGTGTGACAGGCCTGGGTTTGTGCTGTGTCTCCTTTATTTTTCAGGTGTACTGTACTACTCCTGGGCTCCAGGGGGCGAATCTAGAATTCCTTGAGTAATTCAAGAGCATTAGCCCCAGTAGTCAGATCCTTGGAATCTATGATTCTTTGTTTTCTGTTAAAATACACACACACACCAAAAAAAAAAAACCTGCTGCAGAATGCTAATTCTCAGATGATTGAAGTTGCTTAGAAAAGAGGAGGGGGGGAAAGCCAACATTAGCACAGGTTGTGACAAGTTAAAAATACTCACAATACCCTGGGTTCCCAGTTAGTAACTTGAGAATGTAGCTATTTTAATTGAGTTACCAAATATAGCTTCACCTTCCTAAATCTCACTAGCTACACTACATTCATTTGGGGGAACATTGAGGAATGCTTTCTGCTTCCCTTTTTAACTGTGTACTTGAGTATTTTTCCCAGAACAATTTTCTGATGTTAGTTTTTTTGTTCAGATAAATGGTATATCCTCTGGCCCCCATCAGTGGGGGGTTGAACCCAGAGGCAATCTACCACTGTACCACATCCCCAGCACCTTTTATTTTCTGTCTTGAAACAGGGCCTCCTGTATTGCCAAGACCAGCCTCAAACGTGTGATTCTCCTGCCTCAGCCTCCCAAGGGGCTAGGATGACAGGTGAGCTCCCCTGCACCAGCCTATCCTGGCATATTCATGGGTTTTTCCTGCCCTTAGTACTCAATTCCTAAGCTGCCTTTACTCACTTCCATTTTCAAAAAATGAGAAAAAAGTGAAACTTCCTCAAAATCATACTGTCTTCAACTTTTACTGCCTTGACAACTGGACCAATATGTGTGTGAATGATTTTGTCAATTTCTAGACTTTGTATTGTCAGGTTTTCACAGAGGAATGTAAACTGCTATGAACAGAGAAATCAATTGAATTTCTTTAAAAAATATATTTATTTTTTTGTTGTAGTCAGACACAAAACCTTCTTTTTAATCAATTTATGTGGTGCTGAGGATTGAACCTAGGGCCTCACACATGCTAGGCAAGCACTGAGCCACAACCCCAGCCCCATCAATTGAATTTCTTGTTATGGTTCCTACTGGTAGAATATAAGGATTACAGCAAGTGCAGATTAAAGTCTTAGAGTATCTCATTTACATATATAAATGCAATGAATTAAGAGATTACTATGACATTCCTTAAAGAAAAAGATTAAGAGCATTATTATAAGCCACACTTTAAGGAGACCCAGAATCAAAAAAAATTTCAGGGTTTGTAATAGGAGAAAAGGCACAATGGTTTCTTTCTTTCTTTTCTTTCTTTTTTTTTTTAAAGAGAGAGAGAGAGAATTTTTTAATATTTATTTTTTTAGTTTTCGGCGGACACATCATTTTTGTATGTGGTGCTGAGGATTGAACCTGGGCCGCACGCATGCCAGAGGAGCGCACTACTGCTTGAGCCACATCCCCAGCCCCCACAATGGTTTCTGACTCCAAATGCTGGCTTATATATTCCTGAGTGTTCCTACAGAAATTTTTTTTTTTAAATGGCGATAGGGACAGGAAGGTCAACTTCCAACTCCACTAGAGGCAGAGAGAAAGACAAATCCTTCCATTTGGCTGCCCCCACTTCTAGCATGCTAAGAAGACTCAGTGCTCCTGGAGACTCGGGCCGGTGGCTTGCCAGCCAGGGTTCAAGCTCTGGGAGGTCTACACCCAAATGTAGCCAGCACCTGTGTTCTGGGTCTTTGGTTCAGATTTGGGTGCTCCCTGGGGATGAATGAGACCAGAGTTACCTGCCTGCACAGCAAGACTTCATCTGGCTCTCCCTTTCACAATGAGAAAGACAACAGCCAGCACACAAAACAACAATGTAATCCCCCACACCCCCACACACACTGTGCCACTAGAGAAGCTCAACCTCTTTCACAGGTGGTGGTGTAGCAGGGTAGAACAGTTTGATTACTTTTTCCAGTGTCTGCTGTTAATACATGAGGCACATCTGTCCTGAGAAGGGATAAATGACTCTTATGGAGAAAATAAATCCTGGAAACTTTCCTCTTTTTCTTTCGTGCTGGGGATCAAAATCAGGTCCTGGGCTGGGGTTGTGGCTCATAGTAGAATGCTTGCCTCGCATGCATGAGACCCTGGGTTTGATCTCCAGCACCACATAAAATAACAACAAATGAAAATAAAGATATTATGTCCATCTATAACTAAAAAAAAATATTTAAAAAAAATCAGGTCCTACCACAAAGTCACATCCCTAACCTGCCTGCCCACTTCAAGTTCTATGTTGGGGTGCTTAAATACACTTATGTAAAATAGGGAACAAAAAAAGGAATATATATACACATATGTGTGTTTGTGTGTGTATGTATGTATGTATGTGTGTGTGTGTATATATATATATATTTTCTCCCCCAGTAGGAATTGAACCCAGGGTCACTCTTCCAATAAGCAACACCCCCAGCCCTTATTATTTTTTATTTTGAGACAGGGTCTTACTAAGTTGTTTAGGGTCTCATTAAGTTACTGAGGCTAGCCTTGAACTTGTGATCCTCCTGCTTCAGTCTTCTGAGTCACTGGGATTAAAGGGGTGTACCACCAGACCCAGCTACAAAAAATAAATTTTAAGAAATGCCAAAAAGTAAAAAGGTAATAGCTTTTTTTAATATTTATTTTTTTAGTTATAGTTGGACACAATACCTTTATCTTATTTATTTATTTATTTTCATGTCCTGCTGAGGATCAAACCCAGGGCCTAGCAAATGTTAGGCAAATGCTCTACCGCTGAACCACAACCCCAGCCCTGAAAAAGGTAATAGCTTTCAAAATGATCTTAGTCACTCCTTTTCCTATTTGTCTAAACTGAAATTCAAACACCAAAATTAAACAGTTTAAATGTTTAATTAAATAGTACCATTTTTGTTGAATCACATGTTAAGTTATACATTCCTATAAACAAGTTACCCAAAGAACATTTTCATGATTTTAGAAGATGTGAACTGGGCTGGGGATGTGGCTCAAGCGGTAGCGCGCTCGCCTGGCATGCATGCGGCCCGGGTTCCATCCTCAGCACCACATACAAACAAAGATGTTGTGTCCCCTGGGAAAAAAAAAAAAACTAAACAATATATATTAAAATTCTCTCTCTCTCTCTCTCTCTCTCTAAAAAAATAAAAATAAAATAAAATTTAAAAAAAGTTAAAAAAAAGATGTGAACTTGTAGAATTTTCATGATTAAAGTTTAATCTATAAACAAAGGCATTGCCCACAAACTACTGCTTATTTGGCAGTTTAAAATCTTCCTCACAAACAATAGAATTTGCACCACATGAAACTGTTGTATGATCTCACAGGAATTTAAATCACTTTTTTTTTTTTTTTTTTTTTTAATAAACAACTTGTAGATGGACATATAATACCTTTATTTTTATTTGTTGGTTTTATGTGGTGCTGAGGATCGAACCCAGTGCCTCATGCGTGCAAGGCAAGCTCTCTGCCACTGAGCCACAACCCCAGCCCCATTAAATCACTTTAATAAATACAGTTTGCTTATAAATTTCTCTATAATTTATACAGCTTGAATATATTGGTGGTATTGTCACACTATAATGAATAAATTTCTCACATTATCATTTTGAACTCATGGAACTGACAGGAAAAAGAGGAATTAAATAGCATGCCTGGGTTGGTAGGCTATTCAGAATTCCAAACACAGCTGATAGGTCTAAATCTGTGCCTTTCTATTCTAACCACGTGCCTTTACTGACTTCCATACATACATGGTTTCAAGCATTTGCCTGTTAGGTGTCAGATCCTGGAAATCAAGAAATATGCTTTTTCTTCCTCAAGAACTGATTCTTTAGCCAGGCACAGTGGCACACGCCTGCAATCCCAGCAATTCCAAGACTGAGACAGGAGGCCAGCCTCAGCAACAGTGAGGCTCCAAGCAATTAAGCAACTTAGCAAGACCCTGTCTTTAAAAAAAAAAAAAAAAAAAAAAAAAAAAAGATATGGCTCAGTGATAAACTGAACATGGTTTAAATCCTCAAATTCTTCCCTCATCCCATCCCCCCCACCCCCACTGGAGATTGAACCCAAATCTTGGCACATTATAGGAAAAGGCTTTACCACTCAGCTGCACCCCCAGCCCTTTATATTTTACTTTGAGAGAGGATCCTTCTAATTTGCCCAGGCTGGCCTCAAACTGACCCTTCCCAAGTAGCTGGAATTACAGGTGTGCACCACTACACCCTGCCCCATCCCTGAATTTTTAATTTTATTTTGAACTTGTATTCTTTTTTTTTAATTGCAGCTTTATTTTATTTATTTATTTTTATTTTTTGGAATACAACTTTTCATTTCTCTGGTTGTATACAAATGAACATGTATTCTTTAATACACAGGTAATGTATATTTAGTATAGAAAGACAAATTGCAGCCAAGCAAGAATATAACAAACCTATCTACCTTGAGAAAAAATTACCTTTACAATTTTTTCATTAGTACAAGAACACATATATGGGCTGGGGTTGTGGCTCCGTGGTAGAGTTCTTGCCTAGCACTTATGAGGCACTGGGTTCAATCTTTGGCACAACATAAAAATGAACAAATAAAATAAAGGTATTGTGTTCACCTACAACTAAAAAAATATATATTTTTTAAAAGAACACAAATAGCAAATTGGATCATACCACAAGTAATCTCATGTTTTTCACAGACACTATAGCATGAACATCTTTCCATTTCAATAAATATCTACATCATTTGTCTTCAAAACTGTATAACCAAATGTTTGAATAAAACTTCAGGTTTAGGAATGTAAAAACAAACAAACAAACAAAAGGAACTGTAACAATTCTCAACCACACATCACTGATTTAATCACTAGACTTATGCAAGGTGGAAGAGCTGACCCAGAGGGACTGTTGTTCTTTTCCCTTCAAACATCCCACTTCCTGGCTGCTGGAAACTGTCACAAATTCTGTGCAAGTTAGCTATTGGCTGGGCTCCTGGGCCCAGGAATGCTGCGCTGCCCTCAACAGTTATGTGAACAGTCCTTCTATGGGCAACAGGCAGCTGCCAGGGCACCTGAATGGTTTTTCACTTAAGCCTCAGCTTCCAGACCTGACCTGAAATTTAGACCCAGAAGCATTCTTAGGGCAAAGTGACAGAGGTTCCGGAATAGAAGAGAAACCCTAAGGGTCTCATTTCAGAGATGGAATACAGTCTCCTCACGAAGAGGCTGATTGACAGATGGCTCCAGGGTGCCGGGCCTGCCCTGGGGCTCAAGGGGGCCCGCAGCTGCCTTAGGCCCACCAAGCGGGGCTGGGGGCTGGTAAACTACGAAAATCCAAAATTTCCTCTCCAAAACGGAGAACTGGAGGTTGAATAGGGTCCTCTTGAAACCAGGCATGCATACCTTAAACTAAAGAAAAGGTTTCCAAGGGAGGGGTCATCCCCCCCCCTTTAGGTTACCGTTCAAAGCGGTACTGTATTTGTGGAAGTGACTAAAATAAGGGAGATCCCTTTCCCCGTCATTGCCCACCACCGCTCAGGTGACCATGAGGCGGTGTTTAAGGCACTTCCCTCATCTGACCTTGATCTGTCTCTGGACCCCTAGGGCGTCCTCGCTGAGGAGGCCCTCCCTTGGGAGGGCGACTCTGGAGCCTAGAGTCTACGGGGAAAATAAAGCTACTCCTCCCGGCTGCCTACAGTTAAGGGCTGCGTTGCAGGGTTTGAAACTGGCAGGAACTCGGTGGAGCACATTCCTGAAATCTGGCCCCGGGTCATTTACAAATGCGCCAAGAAAAAAAAGCCACCTAAAACCCTTAGGCTTGCTGGTGCTTGGTCCTGAGTTGTATAAATCCTATCGTTTTAAATCTGCCCTTTGATGGAGTTAACTAGCGATCCTAAGAACTACTGGAACTCAGGAAAACAAAACAACAAAAGGCTTGGGAACGAAGCCTCCCGGGGACCCGCGGGAAGCGCAGTTACGAATGGGCGCCAGAGGGGTGGCCGCAAATCCGGGCGCCGAGCTCGCCTCCGGGATTTTGCTCGGCAGCCAGGGTGGGTGGTGGGCAGGACCCTGAGGTCAGCAACCCCCGCGCGCGCAAGGCCGCCGCAGGAGGCCAGCACTTGCCGCCCGCCGATCCCCGCACGGCGCCGGCGGGAGGCTGCAGGAAGCCCCGGAAGGGCGGAGAGAGGGAGCGGGCGCGGGCGGCGGTGACTCAGCCTGGAGGGCCGGGGGCGGGCGCGGCGCGGGGGTGGCAAGCCCGCGCCGCAAGCCGGCTGCTGACGGGAGGCGTACCGAACCCGGAGGGGTTAACTGGGCGTTGCAATCGGCGTCCCGCCCCCAAGCCCCGCCTACTAAGGCCACCGCGCCCGGCTGTACTTATAGCGGCGGTGCCCAGCGCGTCGCGTCCCTCCGCAGGCCCCGGCCGCGGCATCCCAGAGTCCCGAGGTGAAGGTGCCATGGAGCGGCCGGCGCCCCTGGCCGTGCTCCCTTTCTCGGACCCCGCACACGCCCTGAGCCTGCTGCGCGGCCTGAGCCAGCTCCGCGCAGAGCGCAAGTTCCTGGACGTGACCCTGGAGGCGGCGGGCGGGCGCGACTTCCCAGCGCACCGCGCCGTGCTGGCGGCCGCCAGCCCCTACTTCCGCGCCATGTTCGCTGGGCAGCTGCGCGAGAGCCGCGCAGAACGGGTGCGCCTGCACGGCGTGCCACCCGACATGCTGCAGCTGCTGCTGGACTTCAGCTACACGGGCCGCGTGGCCGTGAGCGGCGACAACGCCGAGCCGCTGCTGCGCGCCGCGGACCTGCTGCAGTTCCCGGCCGTGAAGGAGGCGTGCGGCACCTTCCTGCAGCAGCAGCTCGACCTGGCCAACTGCCTGGACATGCAGGACTTCGCGGAGGCCTTCAGCTGCGCGGGGCTGGCGAGCGCGGCACAGCGCTTCATCCTGCGCCACGTGGGCGAGCTGGGTGCTGAGCAGCTGGAGCGGTTGCCTCTGGCGCGCCTGCTGCGCTACCTGCGCGACGACGGGCTTTGCGTGC